CTGTGTCAAACCATCAGCCCTCCGTCCACTTCCTCAAACATGAGCCTGGATGTTTGGAACACGTATTTATCAACGCCTACAGCACTGGAGCAAATTTATGGGCTATACACACTGTGTCTGAGAAACAAAGTTTGAAAAGATATGTATATTTGTGTATTAATTTATGAACAAACTGGGGGGTAGATTTTATAAAAACGTTTTACAATTTTACAGCAGCAGAGATCATGACAGAGACAAATTCCTGATGACCTGTGACGATAAATAGAAACTACATTTTTATTTCAAGAAGCACAGTCACTGTGGTATTTGATGATTCTAAAGTAAATCAGATTTAGCTATCTCTACACGACAAAATGATGATGCAGACAGCACAGTAAGGAAGCTTCTCTACCTCATTCTGCCAGTTGTTTTTCCACGTGTTGTAAAGAACAATATTTGAGCACTACTTATTTTGAGATTAAACAAAATTACTTAAAATTTTGGTTAAATGGTTTAAATTGTACTTTCATCTAATTTAACAAGCAAATAACCATTAAAAAATGAACATTTCAATTTGATTTGTACATTCGTGACAAGGCAATGAATCTCGCTGTACGAAACGTCGACATCAACAGGAATATCCTTCATCAAATCTTATCACAGAGACGCCGGACAATGTCGGGGACTAGGGGATGTAAGGAGAAGAAAAATACAAAATACTGTCCAAGTAACAAAAGTTCACGGGATGATTATATCATTATATCATTATATTATTATATTATTATATTATTATATTATTATATTATAAAAGATTATCACAAAGTGCAAGGCTCAATATAACATATCACAGATAGAAAAACAAAACAATAACAATAACATCAACAACAGCGCTACATTTCTATACAAAAACAAACAAAAGGCGTGACATTTTGCCTCAGTCAAAATTTGTGCAGCTCTCATTTTAAAAAATTTTAAAACAGAAAACGATCAAAAGCTAAAACATTCCATCCTACGATGAGAAAAGGGAAGTAACACAGCGCAGACACATAGACAGACGTGAAGGTCTAGCTCACCCTCGCTTCTCTAGCTCACCCTCGCGTCAACCTTGTGGGAACACCTCGGAGGGTGTCAACAACAAAAAACGTGAACTGGCAGGAAATTCTCAGGCATTTCCCAAAATTTGAGCTTAAAAGAAAAAACCACAAAACAGACAGCTTTCCTGAGCAACGTGAAGAAGTGCGGTGGCGAGACGACTACACGTATATATTTCTACACCGTACAACAAATACACAGCCTGGGTACAGACAAAGAACAAAAAACAAAAATTGTACAACTTGTAAGTGTTTTGAGATATCGGCTCTTCTGGGTCCAGAAACCTGTCATTGTGATGGCAATTGGTCGCTTTTAAGCACAAGGAAGCTATCCCGAAAAATGCTGTTTTGAGAAAATCAAAGGTAAAGTTTTTGCCCCTTGTTCAGTTTCTTTAAAAGAAAAGGAGAGAAACTTCTCCTATAGGTAGGGCAATGCCCACTTTTGGTATAGGTCAAGATTTCTGGAAACCCCCGAAATCTGGGTTATCCCCCTTGTCCTTAAAAGCGACCGATTTTCTCCAGCAGGTGAAAACAATTCCCAAGACTGATGTAGTTGATGTAGCGGCAGCCCGGGGAAACTCATGGGGCTCTTAGTTGTTCCAACAGTAGGGGGCAGACGTCCCGACGAGACATGCGTGCGGACAGGAAGACGACCCGACGAGACACACCTGCCGACAGGAAGACAACACGGACAATGATAAATGTGTCAGAGTGCGGTGGAATCGGACGCTTGTCAGTTTTTGGGCATGTGATGTTATTGGTATCATCTGAAAACTTGTTCCTTTGCTTCGTTTTCCATGAAAAAATACCCTTCTATCTTGAATAAAGGTCGAAATATTTGTGATTGATAAAAAGGTGTGGGTCGCCTGGTTTCAGAGGTAAATTTGCGAGAAAATGGCTGCCAAAGTTCGGTAACTTCCATAGTTTTAGAGTCCTTGGAAACTGAAAACTTACAATTTTTGTGTCTTTAACTGATTCGGCAGCAGATTAGCTGACAGCGGCTCTGAGTTCAAATAGAATCTTACGCCTGGAAAGCAAACAATGTAATATTACAGGGTTGGGGGGGGG